GTTTTCTGGTGCAGTAGTTCTCAAGGTGTTTTAGATTTTGTTATTTCTTGAAATGGTTGAGCTTATGGTGGAAGCAGAGGAACATATGAAATAGAGTTGTCTCCATTATTGTGCACTTTAAAGCAGACCAAGAAGGTGGGTAACCAGGAAAGATTGAAAGGAAACTGGATAACCAAGAAGCACTACATGGCTACAGTGACACGACACTCTAGGACACATTGGATATAAACATTATATCTTAGCCCCTGTTTGAGCCCCATTTTTTTGAGAATAGATTTTTGTAAAAAGTGATTTCTCCTTTAAGAATGCATGGTTAAAAAGTGAAAAATGTTTTGGGTTTACGTGCAAAATTATTTTATTGGGAGAATGTGTGGTTGAAAATAAGTTCGGGGGAAAATGAGGTTTAAAGAATGGGGTTCAAATAGTGGCTTAATATTTATTGCCCATTTACTTAAAAAAATTGAATTATGGATGCATAAATGGTTATTAGCTAAGAAGCATTTAAACTGATAACCTTGGGGCACATTGGATTTGAAAATTATATCTTATTATTTATTGCCCATTTTTGGAACTTGATAAGTTGAATTGTGCCTAAATTAACCAATGTTAGATTGATAATTTCAAAAATAAGAAAGCTATGAGTAGCTGTTTTCAATTTTATTATTTGAGTTGCTGGAAAATGATAAGAGGTCACTGGAGGTAGACAAGTTGTGATAATCACTCTGTTTACTGTTATTTCCTATTTGGTAAGCCTTTGATCCAAAATGTAACATGTTTTTGGTCATTGAGTGCATCCCAGCATGTTTCGAACATTTCCCCAAGATTTTAAGTTAGAGCAATAGTAGAAATATTATGTGTGTATGTGACACATGTTTGGAACATGTTGGTGTCCATACAAACATTGTTGCCCAAGGAGATTCTCCGTGCTTAGCTGAAGATGGCTACTGAGTTATGAAATTGAGCATATAGCATCATATCCCCCATTGTATTTCCAAAATCTTTATTTAGCCACCATTCGCCTTATATATTTCATGAGATCCTTACCTGGGCGGTATGTAAAAATCTTTACTTTTGCTTATAATCCATAAGTCGCATGCATGCTGATAAATATATGTGATGTAATTTTTTTACATTTCTCCTTGAACAGTAGCATCCTGACTTAGGAGCTACTGAAGATTTTTTTCTCCCTCCACTTTATTGATGTTACTCCATATGTGATATCCGTTTTTCTTGGTAGAAGCTATTCTTCTTGTAAACCCTGATGGATTTTGTGTTTTTCAGATGATGGCGTATATCAAGTTTTTGTTCTTGTGCCTAGACTAGCGGCAATGAGATTACTTCTTGGTAAATCATTGTAGTGATTGTGAATTATAATAATACTTCATTGTGATGCATTGCCAGGTCAAGGCTCTCTACGTGAAGAACATACCTGAGAATACACCCACTGAGCAATTAAAGGAGCTCTTCCAGCGCCATGGTGAAGTAACTAAAGTTGTTATGCCACCAGCCAAAAGTGGTGGGAAAAGAGATTTTGGCTTTATTCACTATGCGGAAAGATCAAGTGCATTGAAGGCTGTCAATGACACAGAAAAGTATGAAATTAATGGTACGTACCATATATCCACTATCTAATATAATGTTCAATAAATTCATAAGCAATCGGTATACTGGATAAGAGTGGAAGTTGGAGCTGCAAAATAGTTTCTGCATGTGTTGTTTCTGATCATATACCAATTATTTGATTTGATTGATGAAGGCATGAAAAAGTGAGATCCTTGATGGAAATTGGGGACCAATCAATTCGTTTATTTTAGTAATGCAACCTATTTTTTGTTTATTTTAATAATGCAACCTATGTTTTGTAATGTTATCATTTTTTTTAATTATCTTCCACTGCGCCAATAAATGATTCATTTGATGTATCAAATTCAGACAACTAGTTATAGACATCTGGTTTTGGAATATTATCTTCATCATGAGATGCCTCCACCATTTTCTACCTATTTATAATTGTACTTGAATTACAGCACATCATAGTTGCCAGTGCCTTCTAAAATGTCTGACCTATAATGGTAATTTTCACCTCAATTAATGTGGTTTCACTGTTACTCCACATTAAAATCTCATCTAAAAGTTGATATCCAACGTCAGAGTGCTCCAAAAACACAAGGTAAAAGCTGTTTATCTACTACAACACACTTGGATGGATTGCCAATTAGTGATTTAAACATAGCTGGAGATGCTAAATCATAAGATGTGTTTTTTATAAAACAGACGTTGACATGAACTTCTGGATATACTACATAATCTCTCTCTCTCTCTCTCTCTTTGATATCTGCTTGGCTCTGGTGGTTAACTTAAGTAAACATTTGGGAAAGGTGGTAATTCAAGCTTGATGTCAATACACAAGCTATTCTCCGTGCACAGTGTGAGTTGTCATTTTCCTGAAGTTTTGTGGTGTAGGCTGCAAATGGTGCTACTCAATGTAGAGTTAGTGGTCTATTTAAACTATATAGATGGTTCTCATGGTTGATTCATGAAGTCTGGTTCTGTGGTCATAGATTTTTTTATGTATGTTTGGATGAGCCCAAGAGAGTATTTTGGACACAACTGATGCTGTTGTGTCTTGAAGGGTGACTGAGGCAATGATGAAATTAATCGATGGTTTTCTGGTTTCTTGCATCAGGGGAGGGGGAAAGGGATATTTTCCTTGTTATAAGCTAATCCCCTGTTTGACAACCATTAAAACAACACTTTTTTTTAAATCAAACTCATTGTCAACCACCCATTCTCACTATAAAATATTTTGCATGTAAACTCATAACTTTTTCTTAGTTTTTAACCACACATTCTCCTTATATTCACTATTCCACTCTTTTTCTCAAAAAAAAAAAAACTCATTTTAATGTTTGTCAAACAGTGGCTAAATATGAATTGGTGTAGTTGTTTAACTGTACATAGGAAACTTTTTGGTCATCAATCTTGTCAGTAAAAGGCATTGCGACTTTTCAACAGTAAAGATGTTATTTCGGAAGTTCGTGGCTGATACGAATAGTAAAATACATAATTATGGTAGGTTCTTGGAGGAGCCTTGATCGCTAAATTGAGTTTTTGAAGAATTCAAACCTCCAAAAGCATACCAATGCTAAACAATATCTTCTTCTCCTGTTCAATTTCTTTTATGCTCTTTAAATAGAAAAATATATTACAAAATGACTTCCATTAATCCTAGAACATAGAGACAACTACCCACTAACACAAAGAATGCTCCTATATGAATCTGTTCGAACTAAAATAATACATAAAAAAAAAAATCATACAACTAATATAAAAATTCTAAAAATAACCTTCTTAAAAAGGAGGTTGTAACAGTGGCCTGTATAACTCATTAATCTCACATATTTATTTGATTCGAATGCTGTAACATTTTTGTTATATCAAATCTTGTTTCCAAATTTTCTTCTCTATTATTACTATAAATTTCATTAAGGGCCTTGACGCCACAGTATTCTTTTTTTCTTCATCATAAGTTCCTATTGTTTCTTGCATCACATGAAAGGTGCGAAAATACCCAATTTGGGTTACCACAGCAGCTGTCCCAAGCTGTAACCCAAATTGACAATAAAATTAGGTCTTGTCTGTGGTTTATGCATTTGATCTTTTGTAATGCTTTTTTTAGTAGAAGAAACCTTTCTCCCCAACAGTTCCTTGTACTTGCTTTCAATTCTTTTCTACCTTATATTGGCCAAAATATTTTGCTTGGAAAATGATCAATTATTGTAAATTGCAGGTCATTTGTTGGAAGTTGTTCTTGCAAAGCCTCAGACTGAGAAAAAGTTTGATACGGCTAATACTCACAATTCTGCACCCATGCCTAATTATATTCCTCATCCTGGATATGCTGGTATACCTTTGAATCCTTACGCTGCGCCCATGGCATCTGGGTATGGTGCAGCTGCCGGACTCCAGCAGGTGATAACTGAGAGGATCCTGGTTGTCTATTTTCTATATTTGTTTCTTTCAGAAGGATTTCCATCTAATGTATGCACTCACACTTTAGCAGCCTATGATTTATGGGAGGGGACCAATGCCAGCAGGGATGCAGATGGTGCCAATGGTTTTACCAGATGGTCGAATTGGCTATGTTCTGTAAGTTGCTTCAATAATGGTATTTTCATGTGTAAATACAAAGTACAAATATCTTTAACCAAGACATGTTTTGTACAGTCAGCAGCCTGGCGTACAGATGTCACCTCCAGTCAGACCTCGGAGGAATGATAGGAGCAATGGTGCTGGTGGTCCGCAAGCACGAGGAACCAGCAGTGGCAATGATGATTCTAATCGTGGTAGACGCTATCGACCCTATTAGAAGTGTGGCCTCGAGTGTATTTATTGTACTTGAATCCCTAGTTTGTGGAAAAAAGGGTCAACTTATTTTAGCCTTTAGATACCATGAAGCAGCTTATTTAGGTTTTGTCATGAGTGGCAAAGGCTGGAGATCTTGTTATAGCTGCATGATCATTTATCGTGTTGTTTACGTTTAATTTCGTTTTATTGGAGGAAATATAGTTGAACTTCTGTTGCTAAATATGCACAATACGTGCACTTTGTTTCATTTTATGAAAATTTACGTTTGGTTAAGATTAAGGTTTTGAAGGCCCTCTAATGTCTTCTAATCAAAGTGGATTGGTGCTGTATTGCTCAACTAGTTGTGCTTTAGGCAAACTACTTTTAAGCTGTTGTAATCACTATTGCTGGATTTATGAAGAAAAAGGAACATTGATATGATCAGCGCAATGTATAAGATTGTACTAGTAGTCGACTAAATGAATTGAACACTCGCTATTTTTTATTATATGAAGTCTGTTCTATATTGGAAGTGGATACACAGCTTTGAGCCTATAACTTCAATATTTGTATCATTAAAAATTAATAATATAAATAGGATTTATCACAGATAAGCACACTATATATTTCTTCAGCAAGTCCCATGAACAAATTCATGCAACAGGAACCTCAACAGGATACTTATCAATACAATCAAACCAGGGGTTACCCTTGCACTCTTTAGCTGGAATTTCCCTCAGGGCACTCCAAACAGCACTATTACACTTGAAACCTGACCCGAACGCAATCTGCCACACCCTATTGCCTCTCAAGACCCGGCCTTTGGCTTCTGTATAGGCCAATTCGTACCACAATGAACTGCTAGACGTGTTCCCAAACCGGTGCAATGTCATCCTCGATGGCTCCATGTGCCACTCTGTGAGTTGAAGGTTGTTTTGCAACTCATCCAACACTGCCCTACCACCGGCATGTATGCAGAAGTGTTCAAACGCAAGCTTGAAATCAGGTATATAAGGTCTCACTTTAGCTTTGAAGACCTTTCTCTTCAACAAGGAAACTAGAAACAAGAATTGTTCAGAAAATGGTAGAACTAAAGGCCCCAACGTCGTTATATTCGTCTTTAGAGCATCACCAGCTACGGCCATCAATTCTCGAGCAAGTGAAACTCCAACCGTTCCTTTGTCATCTTCTCTTTGATAGACACAATTGTAGCTATTATCATCTGCACCTTTATGGGTTCGAACGGTATGGACCAGCTCATACTTGGACCTGGATTTGTCCCGGGCCTTGTTTGAGAGAAGCACGGCTGCACCACCCATGCGGAAGATGCAGTTGCACAATAGCATTGAACGGTCATTTCCGAAGTACCAATTGAGAGTGATATTTTCAGTACTCACTACAACTGCATATGTTTTAGGATTAGCTTGAAGAAGGTGTTTTGCAAGGTCTATTGATATAAGGCCAGCACTGCACCCCATCCCACCAAGATTGTAGCTCTTAATATCAGTTCTAAGTTTGTAATGGTTGACAATCATGGCAGATAGAGACGGGGTTGGATTGAATAAGCTGCAGTTCACAATAAGAATTCCAATGTCCTTCGGTTTAACTTCAGTTTTGCTGAAGAGAGAATCCAGTGCTCCAAACATAACAGCCTCCGCCTCCAATCTGGCTTCTTTCATGGACAAATTAGGGGGCGTGGAAGTAATACCCTGAGGGAAATAAGTCTCATCACCAAGGCCAGATCGGTGTGATATCCTCTTTTGGAACTGAATTGTTTCTGCTTCAAATGCACCATTATCTTCTGTCATCTTCAAGAACGATGGAATGGACATTTTCCGTTCATCTTCAGGCTTGTAACAAGCAAAATCGACCAAGTAAACCGGTCTTGGTCGTTTGGCCCAGTAGAGGCCTAACAAAAACATCAATACTGTTGAACCATTTACAATGGTGACTGTATCGAAAACAATTGCTTGATTGGTCCATATATCAGAAATAAGTCTGACTGTTAGACCACTGAGTTGTATCCCTGTAGCTATGAACAAAGGAAAGACTACAAGGAACATAAGGAGAGTTGCCGGCTTGCATGAATAACCATATCCTAATTTGACATATTTGAGCTTAACAGACTGCAAAAAGTCCGGCAATTTTCGCCGTATTTTTATGACCATAGACGACGAGTCTTTAAACGCCACCTCGGCCATCAGTCTCTCCTCATCCATTTCTATGCTCTTCATATCTCTCCCTCTTGCTGGAGTTCTTAAACAAGAAACCGAAGGTATTTTTTTCAAAAGAGTCTATAATAAGCTTAACTAACCAAACCTCCAAGTAAAATAATTGGAGGATCTTTTGAGCAATCTCGTACACAATTAGTTGGAATTGGAGAAGAAAAATGAAGGGCTTTAGATTTAAAAAAAAAGAGATCCTAAAATACAAAGCTACAAGAAAACTGCAGAAAAAGTCTCAATTTAATGGCGCAAATCTTTGAAATGGATTACACAGATAGCTCACCTAACAAAGAGGAAAGGGTTTGAAGAATTCCTCAGTATTTGTCACTCAAGAAATCAAAAATACCAAACCTAATTTTATAGGTATATTTTTGTTAATGAAGGTGGGGTTTTTGAGCAAGTTGCCATGTGAGAATTCACCTTTTTTTTCGCATTGAGACAGCGAACATATAGTATCTGTTTATACACACATATACATACACTTACCCAGGAATGTAAATACACGTTGTTAGTTTGCGTATGATAGAGAAACGGGTAATTGTTTAAGGGCTGTAGTTGGTGGTGGCTGGCCATCAACAAATTAAATAAATGCATGGTAGGTCAAAGATGGTAGACGCAACCAGCAATACAGATTATAAACCTAAATTAATGCATGGTTTTACTCCAGACTACATGTCAAGCATCGATCGTCATCTGCACACGACAGTGTGCTGAGTGAATAATATGTAGGGAATTGACCAACATTATATAATTGTAATGACCTAATCGTATCCCACTTTGCTTGGGGAAGGCCAGCCTTGTGAGTTTATAAGCACTTTGAACACCCTCTCCTTACATGCCAATTTTAAGGATGAATTATAGCTAAAGTGGTTATCACAAAAGCAAACACCCTTCTTGGAAGACCATGTTGCAGACATGACGACCTGGGGGGAGGGGAGGAGTTGGGCCAGTTGGCGCTATTTATTATACTAGTTCCATGGAGTCACCTAGCTAGTTCCGAAGAGTGGCGATATTTAATGATCTACTAATTCCCGGAAGGCTTGCGGATAGGAACCACAAAATAATGTATAGTTAGTTACATTCAGATTTTCAATACAAAAAAAAAAAAAAAACATGTTATGATATGACGACTTCATCGGATTAACAGAAAACGTAAGAAGGAAAAAAGAAAACCTTGCACAAATAATTTGTGCCTAAAATAAGTTATAGCTTTAAAAAAAAAAAAAATTCAGTTTCATCCAAGCTTTATACTTGTAAAAAGAAAAGGTCGAGGAATACAACGTAAAGAGTGTTACAGTCATACAAGGTTTCTTTACCTAAACAGTAAACACAAGTTTCTTTACCTTAACAGTAAACACCTAATTATACTATGTGAAAATTTGTCTGCACTTAATATTAACAGAATGACAAACCTATTACTGTATCCTAATTATAACAAAACTATCATTCTCAATTAGCTGGAGAACGTGAACTTATTGAAGATGGAAAAGCATGTGAACGCGAATACCTAGCTGGTACAGCTTATCAACACACTGCTCCTATTTGAGGCCCATTATTTAAAAAATTATTTTTATCCAAACTCATTTTTGTATATAAAGATTTTGGCATTTAAGAGCAACTCCCAACTTCCATCAGTTTTGAATTTCAAATTCAAACCAAAATTAATTATAAGGACCCAACAGCTGTATTTAAGCAAATTGCATGGAAAATAGGACAAGTCTAAAAGCTTTTCTTTGTCCCAAGTCTCTTAGTGTAGGGACGGCAACGGGGAATATGGGCACATAGGCCCTCCCATTGGCTGCCTCTTGGAGTTTTTTTTTTTTTTTTTTGGAGGCAGGGCAAAATTGATATTCAGATATAGGAATGACAAAAAAAACCCGATATATGCGGGCCCCGCCACGAACAGGACAGAGATAACCTGCTTAATCGGGTATTCAGGTTGGGGATAGGGAGGGATCGGGGCGAGGATGGGGGTCGGGTGCCCTAGCCTATTTAATTTTTTATTTATTTTTAAAATTCAATACATTAAATGGAAAATTTTACGAAATTTCATTAGTTCTAATAAAAAAATGGTAACTAAGATTATCTAAAAAATATGGCAAACAATAAAAACCTTAATTTATCAAATATATTTGAATAATTTAACTTTTAAAAATAAATAGGGATTAAAAAATATATTTTTGTCTTACTCTAATGAAGGGGACAATAAAATGAATTATCAAAAACTTATATAAAAAAAAAATTAAATGGGGTAGTAAACGGGGCAAGGGCCATGGGGCGAGGAATTGCTTGGGGGCGGGGAGAGGTTACCCCGCCCCGCCCCGTTGTCATCCCTATTATAATATTTACATTTATTGTTTCATTTACCTATTTTTATTTTTTTAATACAATTCAAATTTAATAAAATAAAAAATATTCCATTTGACAGAGGACGGGGTGGGACATTTTGCTATCCCTACTTTTGTGGAAGATTTTCATCAATGACAACAAATTATACCTTATATGCAATAAATTTGAAATTGACTACATAAGTCATTTTTTGCAATTTTTTTTTCTTTTTCTTTTTATTTTCGATGAAAGATTTAGGGCATCAAAATCCTCGTAACAACATGCCTTATAAGTTTTATCGTGAATTCGATTTCACCTTCTCTTGTTGACATATGTTCTATTAAAGTGTGAGTTTATTTAAACTAATTTGTGTTTCAATTGAATAATCCCTAAGTTTTAGGGAAATTAGCTAGAGTTTGAAAGTGTCTTTTTGTTGAACATTTCTCTAGGAGAATCCTAACATACCAGTGTTTGTAATTCATGGGATTTCAATTATCTCCAATTGTATGGCTATTTAAAGCCAATTATGTCGTTCAATAAAATCATCACTTCCATTTGATCATTTTTAAAGTTAACATTTAGTATTAGAGCTCCTCAACGGTGCCTGAAAACTCAAAATAAAGCAACTGGTTTCCGACTTGCAGCAACAAGAGTCAATGGTAAGAGAAGGAAGTAATTTTGTGCAACCAGTTATCCAACGTTTCGACGGACAGTATGATAATTAGTCCATGCTCAAGGAAAACTTATTGCGCTCTAAAGAATATTGAAACTTGGTAGAGAATGGGATCAAAGAGCATGTTGAGGGGACTGTTCTAATTGAAACTCAATTGAAAGCCCTGGAAGATTAGAAACTTAAGGGTTTGAAGACTACCTCTTTGAAGCCGTAGATCGAGTCATTTCGGAGACAACCTTGAAGAAGGACACAACAAAAGACTTATGGGATTCAATGAACAAGAAGTATCAAGGCACAACTAGAGTTAAGTGGGCACAGTTGTAGGCTCTTCGTAAAGAGTTTGAAATGCTTCACATGAAGGTGGGAGAATCAGTTAATAGTCACTTTGCAAGAGTGCACATAGTAGCCAACAAGATGAGAATCCATGGAGAAAAGATGGATGATGCGGTGGTAATTGAAAAGATTTTGAAATCTATGACATCTAAATTTGATTATGTGGTTTGTCCCGTTGAGGAATCTAACGAGATGGATGGCATCTCAATTGATGATTGCAAAGCAGCATGCCTGAGCATGAACAGAGAATTATTGGCCATGTAATGGATGAACAAGTTGATGCAGCAGAAGATTATAGGAAAACAAAAATTCACACAAAAAGATTTTCAACAAAGAGAAATTCAAGAAAACTTTATTTAATTCAAAACCGGGTTGCCTTGAAGGGCTTACAACGTTTAAATAGTGAAAAACCTAAGAAAATTCGGAAAAATTACATAATAATGAGAAAATATTATTTTTTCCAAAAATGGAAAAAAAAAATGAGATAATGACGGATCTTGATTCTTCTAATCACCAGGATCAACAAACGAAAATCAAATCCGAGTTTATTTGACTAAAATATTGCCAAAACAAAAATTGTCATAAACAGCAAAAACGTTTAATTGAAGGCCTAAATGACAGAATCTGCCCAAAATTCAACGTGCTTCAGGGCCAAAGGTCTGAGTTGTGATCATTGGCCCGTTTTCAATCTAATTAAACTCGCAATTCACCAAAAATGACAAACCCGAAATTAAATGGAATTATTATTTTGCCTTTATCATTCTCCCCGAGTTGAGAAAAAGTTACCCTCGATTTGACGGGGAAGAAATCTCATCATCATTAGAATCACCACCACGAAATGGAAGCTCTGGCGGCAATCCATCTGGAAGCTCTTTTGGGAAATCATCATGAAACTCTTCAAGCAATGTTTGAACCCTACGAGTGACCTTCTGTTCACTGTAAACTGACTTTTCCACCAGCACCTATACTACCCCATATCCTTCCATATTTGTCTCGAACTTCACTTTGGTCAGTAAATTGGCAACATCCCCAACTGTTTTTACTGAGCCCTTATCTGGAAGTAATACACTTTCCTTTTCCCCAATAGTACACGTCGGCTGCAAGGGATTAGTACGCAACCAGTCAGTGTTATTTTTCAGGGAAGTCAGAAAACTCTGCCTCACCACCAATGCCTGACCCACATCACCAACCAAAAACTCCTCCTTCTCTACTGCTTCTTCTCACCTTCACTGTCAAATGCAGGTGGACCGTAATAATCAAACTCTTCCTCCTCTATTGCTTCTTCAGTGTTTTCATTGTCAAATACGGACGGACATTCATGATCAAACTCTTCCTCATCTGTAGCTTCTTCAATGTCTTCATTGTCAAACACAGGCGGACCTTCATAATCAAACCCTTCCTCCTCAGATAGAAAACGTTGGTGGTAGGGATTTTCAAAAACAGCGGAATAAGAATCGAGATCGGAGACCTCACGATTCTCTAAATCGCATGCTGCTAAGCGCTGGGTTAACTCTACAACTTGCCTCAGAATATTACGATCATGGTGTTGGACTTCCTCAATTGGAACCTGCCCACAACGACCACAACCTTCAGGCGTATGTTGCTGCGGCATAAGTGCAGCAACTTGCTGTGTTAGCAACTCCACTTGTTGACGCAGCTGTGTGATTTGATCAGG